TTTCTGGCTAACACTGACTCCTGCTGTGGCCTGGAGCAAATCACTTCTGTTAAAAACACTTTTTTCCACTCTGTAAAATGAGGATAACACTCCCTTATCAGCTTCACAGGATCTTTCTCAAATGCTTTGAAGATGAAGTTTTATAAGCCTACAAATGTATTTTAATGAGTCTTGCAGTGGCTGTATTTCTAAAACAATTTGCTTTACTTAAAAAGGGCAAGGATTTGAGGAGAAACGAAAGGACGAGTCCATGTGCTGTCACCTCCCTGATATTGCTGAAGTTTGCACTTTTAAAGACATCAAAAGTAGGAGACATTTTCCTTCAGACTCTACCTAAAGGAAGCAAAATGGCAACAAGCGGAGGAAAGGTGCAGAATTCTCAGGGAACACCACAGGAACTGAACTGGAGGCCACACATTCCCTCTCTGGGGCACTCGCTGAACCTGCCTTTGTCTCTCAGAGCTGAACCCCCTCAGCAGCTGCTGCTGCCCCCCCTCCCCTGCAAAGCCCCTCCAGAAACACCACCCCACACTTTACAGCAAGTTTTTAAATCATTTGACCACTTTTTGGGTTTTTTTTTTTTGCTCGATCCATGCACTCAACTCCTGATTTTTAAAGCTCCCTGACAGCAAACACAAAGGGAACTTTGCTCCAGCCCATGGAAAGACAACTGCTGATTTTTTTTTCCCCACCCTTCTTAAAGGGAATTTTGCCAAAAGATGGGCTGGGACCATAAACCATACCCTCTTCTTTAATTACTTAGCTTTTGCTCTTGACTTGGCAAAACATGAAGCTTTTCATTTTAGTAAATCTATAATTAACTCCAGCATGTGCTGAGTAAACATAACCTCATTTTTAATTAAATCTTCGAACAAGATGCTACAACTTGCCATTTCTAAGGAGAAGTACCTCTCAAGTAACGTGCAATAAAAAAAAAAAAAAAATCTAATCCTTGTCAAATAAGAAACTTAAGTCCAAATCTGAGCATAACCCACCCTCTTTTAAGCCATCTGTTCTCCAAACATGCACTCACCAACTACGAGACCAAAATGTGAACCTGAGGAGCCCCCTCTGCACATCAAAAGTTTCCAAATCAACCCAAATCTAAACAGTAACACTGGAAAACTGGGATAACCTTGGCTTTGGGACTCCTCAAAAGTAATTTTTATAGTACATTTCACTGGATTTTTTTCCTTTTTTCTATGCAAATGATGCTGTAGTTCTCACACAAAGAGAAAATAAATATCACTTCTCAAGAATGAAAGGAGATGAAATATCATATGCATTATAAACATCAGAAACAAAGGGGAGCTTTCTAATTAATCATTCATAAGTGAGAAGATTCAGAAAATTTACTTCTGACAGCACATTCACATAGGATAACTCTACAATTCTAAATTAAAATGAAACATCAATTCACTGCATAAAAGGAGAAATCTCTAAAAAGAAAAAAGTTAAGCTACTGTGAAAACACAATGTCAGCTCTAAGTCAAGCTTACACATGAACTAATGAAATAATATGAAGTAACCATCTTTTGTTTATGCTGATTTTTTTCAGTAAGATCTCTGCTGTTACACATTTCCAAATGGCCCTCAAGAATTTAAGATTATTCAAGTGTTAAACAGCAGAAAACTTCACAGAACTTGACTTCATGCTCAAGAATTACATATACCAGAGCCAAATAAACAAACCAAGAGACTGCTAAAGACAGAAGCTACAAGATTTACAAAAAAAAAAAAAAAAAGTGCATTTAAATGAAAGCAAGTCCTCAAGAGAACTTTGTAACGTTAAATCTCATATTACTTGTCTGCAACTCTTTTAATCAGCCCTCCTTTGAAAGGCAGAACCTCTTAGGGATCGTGATTACCAGCAAATCATCTTAGACACTGATGACTCTCCTTTAGGCAGAAGCTGGTCCACTCTTTCAAGTATATTCAAATTATGACATGAGGAGAATTTTATACAGCATTTTCTTCCAGCTCTTTTCTATTATATTTCCATTTCAGCAGGGTCATCTTTGCAGCTCCCACAGCCAGAGGATGCCCAAGTTTCACACCCTGAGGCCAAAGCACAGGATCTCACCTGGGGTGACACCGACTGGGAGTGTCTGCTGAGCACGGGGGAAGGATCAGCATTTACACCACACACAAAGCACCTTCTCCCCTCCGAGGGACACAATTCCCTGCTGCACCTGATGCCCACATTTCCTCCTCCTGATTTCTTCAGGAAACTCCAGCTCATGGATTCACACTGGCTGCACATACTTTTATCATTCTCCCTCAATCCCTCCCTTAAAATCACTTTTTAAAACTCGTTGGACAATCGTGACCGAATCCTGACAGAAGCAGAGTGCTCTTTGTTATTAAACTCTCACAAGTTTTATGGAAACAGAGAGACTAAAATCTTGCCCATCCCATGGAAGATAAACCACAGCCCAACCTCTATCAGGGTCTGAAGAATGTCCACAATCAGACTAGTGGCTTAAATCTAAATCTTAAATGCTACTCCTTCAATTGTTTTAAAATTTGATTTCTACAAGGCAAATCTTAAACACTAATGAATGAATGTTAAGAGCACAACTGTGGAACAAAACAATTAAAAATGGATAATGAATCAACATATGCTATTAATTGCATTGTTTCTTGCAGCTCTTAATCACAATTAAGGAAGACACAACAGAGAATCATTCTTAAAAATTAAAATGCAATAGAACAGTGGGGGTGTTTGAACATCTAATGACAAACATTTACCATCCAACTGTTCTGCAGTTGTGCTGAAGACATTTTTAGCAGTTGGTTTAGGATATTTCTAAGAGTATCCTCCTAGATATCCATGGAGTTTCTAAAAAAACTGAGGGTATTTGTAAGACCAGACACTGGGCATGGAGATCCAACAGGAATGACAGGGCAACCACTCTGAAGTTACTTCCAGAAATGTGTCATCTAAACCCAAAAGCTATTTTTAGTGCACATCTTTACATTCCACACAAGCTGCACTAGTAGAAGCTAAATTATATCTTGAATGGTTACTTATTATAAATTTAAAGCCATTAGGAGCTGTCTTTCCCTAGGAATGCATTGCAATGCAGGACCTGCTGCAAGGACAGCAGTGCACACACAGTGAAATGATGCACTGCAGTGAAATCCCACCCCAGTTAATCCTGTTAACTTTGCCAGCTCTCCTGACAGACCATTATTTAACACTATTACGAAGATTCATGCTACCAGGATAATTAAGGATAAAACAATTCATCATAACTTACCATTTTGCTCCACTTTTTCAATTGTTGAACATATGTGTTACTTTGAAACTCAATTTTTTTTTTCCTCACAAAGTCTTTGAAATCTTTTCAATTCCACAAACAACAACTGTGAAAACACGCTTGGAGGCCCTCTTTGTGAATTGTTATGTTTAGGAAACACTCAATGCAGCAGATTAACTCTCCAGAGGGCAAAACTATTCAGTGTGAGTGAAAGGCTAATCCTGCTCAGACTGGTGGCACTGGAGCTGTGTGACATCCAGCCACAGTGACAGTGACAGGATTAACACCGACAGCAGCTCCGGCACATGGCACTCCACCAGCAAACAGAGACACCACACACCACTGGATTCTCCAATTCAACACTTGTATTATTCCCAAGCATGCAAATTTGCCAGGCACACAAAACTAAACACGCCTGGGGACAATGCCCAGCACCAAATTTTTGTACAAACTTCAGGAGGAATGAAAGGCAGCAAAGCCTCAGCTGATACCAGTTCCTAATCAAATGTGGTAGACTCCAAATCAGCTCTTCAGTAATGTAAATTATCCTTTTGAAAGTCTTTTTTGGAACCTTTTTAAGTTAATGTGTGAAGTTTTGCAGAAAATGTGTCACTTTCTCTTTGAACAAGTCTTTCTTTCATGGTACAGCACCATAAGGTAAATTATCTTTGAGGAACATAAAGCACACTCAAGTCACTCCTTTCTTTTGAATGTAGGACATCTGAAAATTGATGGAAATTTTATTGGCCTTGGGTCATAATGTTTAACAGGTTTATCTAATTTCATTCCAGAGCATTTACATAGTCGTATACATTTTTTTTCTTTCTAATCATAATCAGCCTTTTCACTTTTCCAGGCTTAATAAGAAAAGTCAAAGAAAGGACAGCGAGATTTCTGCACCCAAAACTTCAAGGAGCATTTGCAATGTATTTCTTGGGAATAAACAATGTGAACTTACAAACACATGAAGGTCACATTGAGAAGTTAGTTAAAATTAGAGCCAAAAGCTAATCCTGTTAGATTAAGTTAGACCAGGCTTTTGAAACCACAGCCTTAGATTTTTATCATCTCTGAAGAGCAGAAAACACAAATACACCAGAGAAAAACTAAAAATAAAATTAAAAATATTTGAGAATCACCATCATCTTATCTGGAAGATAATGTTACGTCTGCTTATCAAAGTATTTAGAAGGAAAAAAAAAATCATTCAAAATCTGCCTATGGCCAACTTCTTCTGACTTTGTGTCACATTTACTTTGAATAAATTTTGCTTTTGTACTATAAACTAGCAAGACAAACATTTGTTATCTACTGTCACAATGAGATAGAACTGCCACAGGCAAACCTACCAGACATGTGTCTTTTTAGAAAAAAACGAGAACAGGGCTGTTGGGTGAAGAGAAGGGAAGGAAGGACTGGAATCCTTTATATTGTGGAAAACTGGAAGCAACATCATTTTATCATAATGACAGTTGTCATTGGCATTTTGTGTCTTCTCAGGGAAGTTCAATATTTTCTTGATACGATGGCAAAGGCTGTTAAATAAACACATTTTCCCCACTTCAGCAGCATTTTCCAGGACTCTGCCAGTACCCAGAGCACATTTAACGGTGTCAGTCCCTGCCTGGGCTTTCAGTGCAAGTTGTCCCAACTGTACAGTACCAATAAACCCAAAGCACTTGGTAAATGAAGGTGAAATGACTTGGTCACTGCTGTGAGCCCTCACCCATCACTCACCTGCAGGCAGATACTTGAGCTGGTTGTTGGCCAGGCGAAGGTGGCGCAGAGACCTGAGGCGGCCGATCTCCGGACACACGATTTCCAGGGCATTGTCACTGAGGTCCAGGAACTGCAGCTTAACCAGGGAGCCAATGGCTTGTGAGAGAACACATTTGAAACAGGAATGTGACCCAAAAGAAACCTTAAAGTCCTAACAGGGCTGTGAGAGTAAAGAAGCCTCAGTACCCCATGTCTGAGCACAGCGAGAGGTGTTAAAAGTCATTCTCACAACCCAGACGTCAGTTGTGGAAATGTTTATCTTACTAACAAATAGTTCTGCTGGCAGCGAGACAGGGAGATAACAAACACAAGAACACTTTCTAGATTTTCCTCAGACAATTCTGCTCTGAAATCACTTTCCCCACTCCTCTGCTCTGGGTCTATCCAATTTATAGACCCAGAGTTTAATTTCCTCTAGTTGGGCACGTAACTCTGCAGTTACTGAGAAAAACCAGTACAAGTTCTTGCTCCTTTAGGTTTCAAATCTGTCACGATCTAAACCAGCAGAGCATCGTGTGGGGACTGCCTGAAAGCAGCAGACACTCTGGATTTCTGTTCTGCAGATGAGGGCCATTTAGCCTTTTCACTTTCTGCAATTAGAACTGGAGCAAACAGCATTTAGGTGCATTTGAGGATCATTAAAAGAATTTAACATAGCAGAAACAAGGATATTATTGACTAAGAGCTACGCTGGTATATTTTGTATGAAAATCTTTAATGTTTTATAGGAAAATAAAGGACAAATAGGCCTCTTCAAAGAAGAAAAATGAATATTTTATGATTTCTGCCACTTATTGTGAGCTGGTGGATTACTTACCTTCAGGTACAACAACTATGTTGTTTGAATGGAGGTACCTGGGGGGAGGAGAGAAAAGCAGAGGACACCACCTGTTACCCTCAAGGACTTCTGCTGCATAATCAGTTTGCAAAATATCCAATTTCAGACTGAAAGAGCCCCCTCAAAGCCATTCCTCCCCATTAGCACAAAAGCTGTGGAAACTGCATAAAATGGCAGTGGACAGGTACTTAAGTCTCACTCAGACTATTCAATGATTAACATAAAGGAAAATTACATACAATTATGTAAAACAAACCACTCACAGTTACAGCAATAATGGGCTTTAGTTTTGAGAGTCACAAGAGGAAACAAAATGGAGAGAGAATAAAGCAGACAGAAGAGCCAGAGTGAACCACACTGGATCTCCAGGTTATTTGGCACTCAATGCCAGCCAAGAAAAGGAAAACACCCACACCCACCCAAATTACACACTTACAAACACCTTCCCCTGCACATGAACTCTCCCACCTTTAAAGACTGAAGAAACAAGCACATTATATACTCCCTGCAAGGGAGTTTTTCAAACTTAAAGTACATGTTTTCAAAAGAGAAACCCAATCTGACACATGGATATTTCTGTAGTTACAGAGGGTGGTCAGATCTCTCACTGAGAATATTCAGCACCCTCTGATGGAGCACTTCCAGTACTACTGGTAACACAGAAACTGATCTTAGATTTTACACATTTCAGCCTTTATCATCATCATTGCTGCAAATAAACAGTTGGATCTTGTAGAAAATAAGAGTAACAAAACTGTCCAGGATTGATATTGAATTGTAAAGGGATACTGAGCACTCGGTGTCCAACAGCTTAGGCACACATGGAATTATTTGCACAGGGTCATTTTTTTCCCACTCTATTCCACAAGCATTTCCTAAAAAGTAGGAGCCTGTCTTTTCAGGGATACAGAGACAGAACAAGAAAACACACAGAGATGAACATTTCAACTGCATCGAGCATCTGAGCCCTCTCTTTTTCTTTAAAAATTGCAGATATTTGCTAAAAACTTAACAACAAGCATAAGAATGGCAGATATGTAGAAATGCTTAGATATAACCTCGGGATGAGAATTCTCCTACTGATTTTAGCTGCAGTTCCTGAAAGTATTTGTGAACTATTTCATTCAACCTAGAAAAGTACACAGGATGAGGATCTACAGCTGCTATCCCAGCACGAGGGGGAATGACAGACAAAGAACCAGAGAAATTACTGAGGATGCAACTTTTAGGAAAATAAATATCAGTTAAGTTTGTCTTTCAAAATTGAAGGCTACTGTAACAAATTATTTTTTATAAGTAAATCTTTATCTTGTGGTCTCTTCTTTGTCAACAAAGCACCTGTTATTGTCTGATCAAAAATGGACTTGTCCACTTAGAGCTACACCAACCACAGGCCCACTGCAGCCCCCTCTGGACCCCCAGAGTGAGTGGGGTCGTGGTGGTGCAACTGAGCTCTCTGAGCACCAAATAATGAGGTTTAACTCCTACAAATCACTGTCTGTAAGAAATTATTTCAAGCTGTAATTTAGACAGGTTTTCCTAAAGGCACCATCAACTAACCCTGAGATTTCCTGGTGCCCCGGGGCAAATCATTATATCAAATACAACAATATTTATTTTACTGCTTGAGAGCATAAACACACTCTCAAGGCTGGGGCGTGATGAGGCAGGACTGGCTCTTAAGGCAAGTTGGAGGCTGCAGTGACCTACAAAGCAGTTCAGTCACTCTGTGGCCACGTGCAGCACAAAGGTGGGGGTTCAGGGCCACAGGAAGATGACAAGATGAGACAGCTGAGGGATTTGACTCCTCACATAAACACCTCCCGTTTGGAGCTTCCCATTAAACAAACAGGATCGATGCTCCAGCACTTCCACAGCTGACACTGAGCCAAAGGAGTCAGAAGGGGAAAAGAGGACGAGGCTTTTAACCCCCCTCTGCCAACGCTGTCACACAGGGAAATCACAGCCGTAGAAAAAGCAGAGGGAAGAAAACGTTGTCTCAGGGGCTCACAAATTAATTGTCAAAATAATACAGTTCGTGGGACATCCATTTTTTGGACATGACTGGATAAACTGCTCTGCCTACAGCAATCATCATTCCACAGTTCCTACCCCGACATGCTCATCCCTGCTCCTATTTGACAATCTGGGACTTGGATCCAAAAAAACTGATTACCACAATCAGCAAGGCTGAGATCATAAAACCCCTGGGAGCTGGGGTGGGAATGAGCAACTAGGGATGGGCTGGAGGCAGTAACCTGTTCCTCTGGCTCTGTCACAACCCTCTGACCACTGCACTGGGAGGTTCCAGTGTGACAACGGGGTATCTTTTCCCTCAGCAGCACAGACACTTGTATAAAGGTTCTTGTTATTGTATAAGTTTAAAAAAAATAAAATTCAAAAGGGACTGAATATATCTGGTTATACCTCCTAAAATGACCCCTTCTTGCCTTTCAAGAAAACCCTTCACACTTTAAATGCAGCTTATGTGCAATTAATACATTCTAGATTTTAACATAAGATGGATCAGCATAATAAAAATATAACAATAAAAATATATTAGAACTCCTACACAAACTCACAATTCCACGAGGTTTGGAAGCTTCTGTGCAAGGTTTTCTGGCTGAAAGAGAGTTAGAGATTTTTTTTAGGTTTCAAAACAAGAAACAAGACACACATATTGAGTACCCAAGTCGTTTTAATAACCACACTAAAACGTGTCAGCAGGAAAAATGGCAACAAGCAGCCTCTGTATGAGGCTATTTCCACCTCCCCAAACATTCTCCATCAGGGCAATGTGGGATGTGTCAAGGGTGAGCAATTCACTGCCGAAACAAAGCTGCAGTCTGGAGGTGACATTAATGTGGTCCCCAGCAAAATGGGAGTCAGATTTCTGAGGCTGCAAGGATGGATTACCAAAATCTTACTTTTGAAAATACATTCAAATAAATGAGTTTGTTGAAGGCAAGAGACTGCTGAGAAGCTGCAGCCTTTAAAGACTTAGAGCAGAACAAGAACTACACAAGATGTGTAACCATAATGTGTATTTTACAATGCTGCTAAACTGGGAAATGACCTACAATCTTTGTGTAGCTTTAATCAATTACCACCGAGCCAGAACTGCTGAATCCATCAATCTAGATTTCCATATTTCCATATTAACATGCATATCGTTCTCTAACTGCTAACTGGCAGTCATTCTTTGCCTTGACGGCATTTACAACCGCGAACACGTATCACAAAACTGACTTCACAAGTTTCAGATGTCATGTTGGGAACTGTACTCAAAATGATTCAAGGTTAAGAGGGTTTTATTGCTTGAGAAACCTGCTTTAAACATAGCTATGTTTTACTGAAAGGGGGGTTTTTCAATACAGGTAACACGCAGAAACAAACGGGTTTTAAAAGCAGCTCAACCACACGATCGTTTTCCTGATAAAATTAGCAATTTCATGTGAACTGTGTGACATGTGATACCTTAAATTGGTGTACCATTATCCAAAATACAGAAATTTGTGTTCCTAACTTGATATGCTACCCTGAAGCAGTAATGTAATGATATTCTCATGTATTCTCAGTAATGTAATGATATTCTCATGTAGCAAACATCCACCAATGGTGGATGTTTGCTACATGAGAATATCATTACATTACTGTTTCAGGGTAAACTCCGGATTAGCAAATGATGGGTCAGGTCAAGAACTGACAGGTGACGTCAAGAAGTGCCTGAGGTGACGTCATAACCCAGCCCCGGGCTGTCCCTGATCCGGCGCTGCCACCTCGTGGCAGCTTCGCCACAGCGCGTTTGCCTCCCCGGCACACGGGATTTATGCGAGAACCTGAAACTGGGCGAAATTGCAAAAAAATTCAAGCTTCAATTGCAAAAATGAAGCGTGAAAAAAAAAAAACAACACAAAAATTCCCTTTCCCTCTTTATCACGCTCAGGATGCCAATTTGAACCACAAAGTGCTGTCACTGTTTCATCAGCTGCTCTGTCAGAACGGGTCAGCACTGCGTGTTCTGAGTTAATAAATTAAGAACAAATTGTTCTTTGCTATGGTCACATCCTGCCTCTGACAAACAGCTATTTCCTTTTGATAGAAGGGGAAATTGGGTACTGGAAGGTTCCTGGTATCAGTCAGTATTAGCTGAGGAGTGGGAAGACCTGACCCTGGGATACACAGGTGTGCTTTATGGCTTCTTGAGCCATTCATTATGTCACAGCCCTCCATCATTTCCATCTTGCCAATGAAGACAAAAATGAAATTATTCTTAGGCAAGGTAAATTCTGTCAGTGTTACCACTGCAGACATTTTCACAGGACTCATCTGTCAAGGACAGGAGTCATTTCAGAGTTGCAAAGAACAAGAGCTGAATTAGTTTTCAGAATTCTGAAGGAATGAACTGATGGGACAGAAGTATCACCTAACTTTAAAGAAATATGGTGCAGGATTAGTTTTGATGATTGCTCATAATCCTCATACAATTTAAAATGTTTATTGATTAACTAATGCTCATCACCTTGCATGGAATCAAAGGAGTAAGGAAGAGACCTCCTCCTTCAGTAACTTGTTTTCAACTATTCTCAGGTGAGATTTCTGCCCCACCCAATGTACACAATTAACTACTCCTTTACTAACGTGAGAGCATTACTTGTGGACACAAACCAAACTCATTATGAAAATACTGCTTTGTGAAAACACTGATGATTTCTGCTCTCCCCCATTCCTCAGATTTTCTCCCTCTCTATCTTCTCTTTTTGCCAGAGGAATTAACCTCAATCTCAACCCTCTCTCACAGGGCACAGGAGTTCTCTGAACCCCCTCACTGCTGCTCTCCAGGTTCTCTCCAAGTCACCCCAGCTGATCTCAAGTATGAAACTCTCCACTCCAGCTTATCCTCTGACAGTATCCAGTAATTACTTCCTTCTGCTTTTAATGGAGATTGTGAAACTTTCCATGTGCCAAAAAGACATCTGCCTTTTTTTGTAACACGCTGCTGACTCGATCTATTTTGGTCCACTACAACTTCCAACATCTCTTGTGCTGAACAGATGCTCACTGAATGAGACCCAATTTTAATTGCCTTGTTCCAACTATAGTGCTGAGCACTTGAATGAGATTCCAACAAGTCACATTATGAGCAAGTTATCCTGATTGTTGTCAATCTAATCATGCTCTACTTCACTCTGTTTGAAGTCATTTTGTCCAAGTATGATCTGCATTTTTTTTTCCAGTTCCTTCATCCAGGCCCTTAACACTGACATGGAGAAGAGTGAGATGTAAAACTCTCCTTATTGTTCCATCTTTTGAGCAGTGCAAACTTGATGAACCTTCCACCACTAAATTATCACTGCATGTCACAGAGTGTCAAGGTAGAACTGTTTACAGTCTGACTTGATAGCAGCTTTAACTGGTAATCATGAATCCTGTCCTCCCATTACAGTTAATACACATTAATAAATTACTGCTCAAAACCAGAGCACTAAAATAATTCTCCACAGCACATGTCAACCTAAGTGATTCATTCAAGACAAAGAAAAGGCATAAAATCTTCAGAATCCTTTCAGCTTTTGGCCCACTGAGGGAAACCTTTATTGAGGGTTTCTCTTGCATCATTGCAAAAGCTTTAGACACCATTTCTTAAAATGGAGTAGTGGACTTCCACTAGGAAACACTTAAAAACATATAATTTGGCTGATTTTTTTGGTCAGGCCCTCCAGCACCTCTGCCCTGGCTATTATTTTACCTCTAATACCGTGGAAGAGCCCGAGAAAAAACAAACAAAAAACAACAACAAGAACAAAATGAAGCCTTGAAGACTTGAGCCTGTTGACAGTGGCAAGTTTTGACTCTGTTCTCTACAGCCTTATGAGCTCAGAACAGCTCACACAGTCACTGAACTGCCCCACACTGAATGCTGAGGTCACAACATTCACTCAGGGAGAGAACTCCTTCAGTTCAGGGAAAAACTGAAACAAGAGATCTCAAAGGAGAATTCCCACAACCCTGATGTGAACTGTGTTCCATCAACAGCAGCCCAGAGATCCAAGTTTTTACTGGCACCTTGCTTGGAATTAGACCCTGGGATTGACAATACCTTTGGAATTAGGCACACATCCAAGGGAAAAGCTGTTCAGCCTAATGAAGGGATGTAGATTAAACTACACAGTACCACTTAAAAGGAGAAAGGCCTGACCACGGAGTGAGTAAAATTTACAGCAGTTAAAATCCCCCCAACAGAACAACAAGCCTGACAAGAAAACCCCCAGCAGATCTTCAGAGCTTCCAAAGGGTGACCATAAAATACCATAAACTTTCATTTCCTATTCTCTACATTACCTATGCAAGTTCAACCACAGTACAACCCAACTACTCATCTCTCACAGTTATGACATCATTCAGGGGCAGATTTTCTCTAAGATTTTTCTTTTCTTTTTTTTTTATCTTGTTTTCTCTCTTCCCAAACTCAGAATTCCTAAACATACAGACAATAAACATTGCAATAAAGAGGTTGTCATACCAATGTGGTCAGGGAATTTCTTTTCATGTAAAGTCTCTCCAAGTACTGCAGCCCCTCATCCTTCAGTAGCTCCAGGGGGAAGTGATGGAGGTTCCGGTAATTTAAGAACAAGTTCTTGTGCCTTTCCAGCTTTGCCTCAGAGATTGTTTTACACAGTTCTGATGCCATGACTAAGCACCACATCTAGTGCATCTCATCTTCTGGAAGCAGACCCATTTCTAGGAGACAAAAAGAGGAAAAAACCCAACTTTATCAAGGTGTGTGCCATGCATTCTTTTGCAGGAAGAGTTACTCATTATCTGATAATTTATCTAAACACACTTGTTCCAGTTAATATACAAAGTACCCAGAACACCCACACCAGAAGCAAGTCTTTGACTATTTTCTGAATCAAGTTTTAGTGTGTTACAGGACCTGAAATAAAATCTTTAGTCCTATATAATATCTTGTGCTTCATCCATGGTCAGTGGACCTTTCAGATAATTTTGTCTAAGTTGCCACCACAAAGGAAAAAAAAAAAAGCACCCTCTCTTAACCATTACTGATGTCCTACATCTGTTCTGTCACATGTGCTAAAAACAGAACACACAGATAAGAAAAACGCACAATTCATAAAGGACTTCTTAGAGTAAAATACACTGTTATGTATCTTTTAAGCCAGAAGGACAAAAGGCAATTCAAGTTTGTTAAGCTTGCCCATATAAAACTACTGGGAGAATTTACCAGTTGGAAAAGATACTGGGGATGGAGAGCCACAAAGGCCATTTAAAAATAATAAATTAACATATGAGAAACCCGAGACTTACAGCGAGAAAATTTAGAAAGAGCAAAATATGACAGATTTTCATCTCTTTACTAAAAACAAACCCAGGAAGAACAAAGTGTCAAGCTTTAACTGACAATTTCAAAACCACAAAACAAATGCAGGAAGACAAATTAAAAATTAACTTGTATGGCAAAGCTGGCTTTATTCAGCTCGTTTGTCGTGTACAACCAAAGTTCCAGTTGTTATTGTGTTTGTGTAGATTTAGGTAACAGCAGCAATGCTGCACCTTTTCAACTGCCTCAGAACACAATAAATCCAGGCTATTTTGCTAATTTAAAGTTACCAATTTGCCACCGACTCGTGTGTACAAATTAAGGAGCGTTAACGAAAGGCAAGGATTTGTAACTGCTTTGCACCAAAAACACTCTCTTAGTTCATTTTCTCACTGAAGGAGTTTTCTAATCCTAACAGATATTGGAAGTGAAGGTCCTGAATCAAGAATTCCACCTTATTAATAGTAATTGTAAACAAAACTCCAGCTGAAGACCCACAACCTGTAAATCCCTGTAAATCAAACTGCTCTTCAGTTCCTCTAATTCCCTTGATTTGCTGATAAGCGGCTCTTACCGGTGACCTGTGTCCTTCTGGAAGAATACAGCATTTGGTTTTGGTTGTTTTAGGAGTTTTTAACAGTTGCCTTCCTTGACTGTCTTGGGGGACGGGGCATACACTCTGGCACTGGCAACAGTAAAGCTCCCTTAGCTCAGGAGATCAAGGAAATTAAGCCAATGCAATTCCCAACTCCACTCCTGTGATCAGCATTAAAACAGTTCAAGGTAAAGCATTAACATTTTTAAGGTGCATAACCTGAGTACTCAGTATTTGTGCCTTAACTGCTACAATGTAAGAAGTGGTAAAGGAAAGCTCATCTTGACCTGCATTTATTTTTTTAATGAAAAGGTGGAGAAGTCACAAAACACACACACAAACACCCAACAGGCTTCCACTTTGTCCAGAGGTGCCTTTTAGCTGTTCTGCACTTGTGGGCTTCTCTCCAGAGCTGTGACTCCACATAAAATGTGCACATTTAGCCATGGCACACTCGGGGACACAACCCCACGGATGCAAAGTCCAGTCACAACCTGCTCCACTTTGGCTCTGACTTCAAAGCGAACCCCTCCTACTCCCTTCCGCCTCCAGCCCAACTTTTTCTGTCAAAAAATCTTCTTCCAGGGATGAGACACAGCCTTGGCAAAGAGGAACAGCCACAACCACGGCCTTTAAGGGGGGTGAGAGGGGAGGGTGAGGGGTGATAACAGCCAGGGATGGCCTTGTCAGGAGTGGGGACACTCAGGGGAGGAAAGGGCGGAGGAGGAGGGAGAGACTGGGGGAGAAGGGGGTACGGGAGGGAGAAAGGGGGAACAGGAGGGGAGAGGGGGCGAAAACAGGGCGACAGAAGGGGCAAAAGGGGGAGAGAGGGGCGGGGGGGAACGGGGAAGAGAAGGGAGGGACTGCGGAAGAGGGCGCGGAGAAGAGATGGGAGCATGGGAGGGAAAGAGGGGTTAACAGGAGGGGAGAGAGGGGAAGACACGGGGGAAGGGGGGGGGAAAGGGAGGCAGGGGGCGAGGGGGAACGGGGAGAGAGAGGGGCACGGGGGAAAAGGGGGACACGGGGAGAGAGGGGTAAAGCGGGACAGGGGGTAAGGGCGGCCATGGAGCTCCCCCTCACGGAGACCGGCGGGCAGAGAGCAGGGGCAGAGCACCAGAGACACCCCCACACACCATCCCAGCCGCCAGGACCCGATCACCCTGTCTGTCTGTCCGTCCCTCCCTCGCTCCCTCCGTCCGTCTCACTCACCGGGCCGCAGCGGGAGCGGCGCCGCCGGCCGAGGGACCCGAGTGGGAGGGGGGGAAAGGGGGGCGAGCCGAACCGCGCGAGACCGCGGCCACCGCGCGCCTCTCGCGAGACGCCGCGCCCCGCCCCGCCGCGGCCACCGGCCAATCGCAAACCCGCCCCGTTTCCCGCCTCCCCGCCGCCAGCCAATGGGAGCGCGGCGCCCCCGCAGCGCCTCGCCCGCCTCAGGCGGCGGGGTGAGGGGGGCGCGGGGATCCCAGTGTTCGCCGTGTCCCGGTGTCCCCTTCCTTCTCCGGTGATCCCGGTGTTCACCGCGTCCCGCTGTCCCTTTCCTTCTCTGGTGATCCCGGTGTTCCCCGTGTCCCGGTGTCCCCTTCCTTCTCTGGTGATCCCGGTGTTCCCCGTGTCCCGGTGTCCCTTCTCCGGTGATCCCGGTGTTCCCCGTGTCCCGGTGTCCCCTTCCTTCTCCGGTGATCCCGGTGTTCCCCGTGTCCCGGTGTCCCTTTCCTTCTCCGGTGATCCCGGTATTCCCCGTGTCCCGGTGTCCCCTCCCCTCTCCGTGAGGGAATCACAGGATCAGCGGGGTCGGAAAAGACGTCTCAGATCATCGACTCCAACCTGTGACCCAACACCACCTTGTCACCCAGACCATGGCACTCAGTGCCTCATCCAGTCTCTTTTTAGAAAGCACCTCCCTGGGCAGCCCATTCCAATGTCTGATTACTCTCTGTGCAAAGAACTTCTTCCTAATGTCCAACCCAAACCTCCCTTGGCAGAACTTAAGACCGTGCCCCCTTGTCCCACTGCTGGTTGCCTGGGACAGGAGTCTGACCCCCACTTAGCTCCAGCCAAGGGAGTTGTAGAGGGAGAGAAAGTCCCCTCCTCCTCTCCAGGCTGAGCCCCCCCAGCTCCCGCAGCTGCTCCTCACAGGATTTGTGCTCCAGTCCCTTCACCAGCCTCGTTGCTCTTCTCTGGACACGCTCCAGCACTTCAATATCCTTCCTGAACTGAGGGGCCCAGAACTGGACACAGCACTCGATGTGTGGCCTCACCAGTGCCGAGGACAGGGCCAGAATCCCTTCCCTGGTCCTGCTGGCCACACCATTCCTGCTCCAATGCATTGGCTGCACTTGCTTCCCCATGTGTTCACACAACCCCTGCTGCTGACACGTCCCCATGCACACTAAAATGACCCAACACGGAAATCCCATCCCAGAGAAAGGCTTGTGTTCTGTCGCTACTCTGGTGACAGCAAATTCCCTCATGCTCTGGGTATTTAACATCTCTGGGGATTAAAAAGTTGTTCTTTGCTGAAGATTAGCCCTTACAGCTGCCTAAAAAAGGAATCCCAGGTGCAGAAATCCTCTTTCTAGTTTCCACGGACTAATTAACATACACTTGTCCTAACAAAATTCGTATAACAGGTCTGCAGGGGAACCAAGAGGATGAATACCTTGCAGAAGGCATTTCTTCTATATATTCACAGAACTTTCTCTTTAAATAAAGCAACATGCAAAAAAGCTTAAGATGTTTTTTTTCTTGGAGACTCATTTCTCTCCTTTTCAGTTCTAAATCAGGAATAGCAAATCCTTAATGGCTCATTTGTCATTTTCCTGCACTTGAAAGGCAATAATTGATTGTGACAAGTACATTTGCTCCATCTTACTTGCCAGTTGCAGTCCTGTTGGAGTTGGGTTTTTTTCAGAAAAATAGATTGGATTTTGTTGAAATAACTTGAGATGAAATAATTTACCGTTCCAAATTCAACATCCTCCATATTTATCATATCATACTGCACACATTGCTTCTTACTGTGGTTGACAGTACTTGTCTGTTTTTCCCAGCTGGATGTTGCATGCCAGGAAGTGGCCTGCTTGTGTACCACCACGCTTTTAAAAACAGCAATTACATCACACTTCTTAATGTCACTTCGGTCTCACGTTATAAATAGCCGAGAAATTAAAAGTTAAGCATATTTCAGACCAAAGTAGAAGCTGAATACGAGCACGGTTAGCAACACGTTCCTCGGAGAGAATTCAGTGATGTGTCAAACCAAATGTACTTCTCCGGGATATTGAATCATTGATCAGGACAGAAGCTGTGTTTCTGTCTTCTACTGAAACACTAACAGGAAAGATGAAGCTTTTTTCCTTGGGAGACTTGCTCCTAACAGAGCCAGGACACTTAATGTGCTTATTGACACGTATGTTGTGATGGTTTGGGTTTTTTGGTTGGAGATTTTTTGAGACAGTAACAGGTAGGAGATAAGATTACCGCACTCTGGTATTTTTGAGAGCAAACCTTTGTCTGTTTGTTCTCTTCTGCTCACATCACCACACATCAAGCCATCTTGTGTCTTTCCCCCTGAAACAATCACTCAGGATTCTCTCTTTATTGTCCCTTCACCCTCATTCATTCTCAGTTTTTCCCCTCGACCAGTGCCGTGATGATCTCTGGAAAGCTCTGCTCTCTCCGAGCTGAAAGCTGATCTCCAGAGCTCTGATCCTGCCCAGCACAGGTGGACGGTCCTGCCTGTGGAGTCACAAGGCTAAAAACGATGAGCAGAGCAGGGCACATTGGAATCTCAGGGTTTGCCTCACAGTTGCCAAGGCATTCCCATCCAGCCAGTCAGGCTAGTGGGATCTCTTTGCTAGGTAGATTTTTACTGTTTCCTTACCCTAATTTAAGTCTTAGTTTTGTGCTTCTGAGAGCGAGGAACAAAGGGGCTTGAAATTTCCATCTTGCTCAGAAGGATGACTGATCTTATCTGTGCCCACATATAGAAACTAAAAAAACTTGCTTTGAAACACCACTTTGAAGATCTGTGCGAGTCGTTTGCATTTGTCGGTGACTTCAAGACCCACCACCATCCCGTGGTTTACTGGAGCAAATCCAGTAATTGGATCAAATGGGCTCAGCTTCACTGCTGATCCCTTGTTTGTGCCGAAATCACACAAGCCAGATGAATGTAGTGTGAATAAAAAGAGATGTGTTATCAGATTTATTACACAAGGCAGCTCCCTGAGGCTTAACAACTTCGGGAAGATGCAGTTGGAAATACCTTTGTATAGTTAAGCTTTATGCAAACATTTCCTCTTATTTTGCCAAGTGAAACACGGAGAAATTATTGTTATTGAGGTTTTTTGTGACAGGATTCCTGCTCTCAGTGCCACAGACCGAGGAGATGCAAAGAAAGTATCTTACTGAGCTTTAGAGTTTGAGTTCTGAACACTCAGGTTCAGCCTCCCTGAACCTGGCTGAATCTTTTCCACCCAGTGCTGTGGATACCACTTACATTGAATCATGTGCATTAAATTAGACTTTGCAAGTTTAGAATATGATCAAAATATCCAGTGAGCAATTAAAGGTCAGTTTTTAGCAGCAGGAAGCTTTACTGTGACTGATACATGATAAGAAAAGGGTGTTTCATATAGACAACGATCAAAGATTCAATTGGTATCAATTTCAAGAATTTTGCATCTATTCTCTGCACAGGAGGGTTTTTTGCCTTTGCAAAAGATTGATTTGCCTCTCACAGCAGAAAGAAATAAACCCTCTAAAATGTTCGGTTTTTACTCATGGAGAAAGAATCCATCCTCCAGAAAGCCCTGGCTCTTCTTAGGAAATCTTTCATAACTTCCAGTTAGTAATTCTGGTTTAGTACAAAGACAAAGCTGCCTTTTTTGAGCGGAATAAAGTTACAGTGTCTCATCACAGCACTGCTAACTTTGATTCCACGAACAATTTACTTTTAAGTCTGGCTCCTGCAGCAGTACCAAAAGCTGGAAGGCAGATGGAGCTCCTGCCTGCCAAGTGCCAGCATGCCAGTATTTAACGTTTAGGCGTCGTCCACCTTTGGCTTAGGACTTTTTAATTTCGGTTTATTTCCTATTGTATTTGTTAAACTTGAACTGACTCCCTTTTCAGTGGCACAGTAATGCTAATGAAAAAGCTGATTTCAAAGGAAGTTCTTTGTACTGCCTGGTAGGGTTCAGATCAGCATTGCTCGAAATAGAAGCTTTTAAAACAGTTTCTTGCTGGTTTTTTTTTTTTTTTTTAGGGAAATTTCCTGGTAATCACATTGATTTTGCTGTGTTATAGATTTCCTAGGAAGTAATGGAAAGTACCAGTCATTTGGTCGAGCTGCATTTTGAATGGAACAACCCTAACATGGAACAA